GTTCTAGTCCTATTCTAGTCTAGTTCAGTTCAAGTTCAGTTCTAGTTCAGTTCTAATTCAGTTCTAGTTCAGTTCGTGCTTAGTTCTAGTTCAGTTCTAGTTCAGTTCTAGTTCAGTTCTAGTTCAGTTCTAGTTCAGTTCTAGTTCTAGTTCAGTTCTAGTTCAGTTCTAGTTCAGTTCTAGTTCAGTTCTAGTTCAGTTCTAGTTCAGTTCTAGTTCAGTTCTAGTTCAGTTCTAGTTCAGTTCTAGTTCAGTTCTAGTTCAGTTCTAGTTCAGTTCTAGTTCAGTTCTAGTTCAGTTCTAGTTCAGTTCTAGTTCAGTTCTAGTTCAGTTCTAGTTCAGTTCTAGTTCACTTCTAGTTCACTTCTAGTACAGTTCTAGTTTAGTTCTAGTTCAGTTCTAGTTCTAGTTCGGTTCTAGTTCAGTTCTAGTTCAGTTCTAGTTCAGTTCTAGTTCAGTTCTAGTTCAGTTCTAGTTCTGTTCTAGTTCAGTTCTAGTTCAGTTCTTGTTCAGTTCTAGTTCAGTTCTAGTTCAGTTCTAGTTCAGTTCTAGTTCAATTCTAGTTCAGTTCTAGTTCAGTTCTAGTTCAGTTCTAGTTCAGTTCTAGTTCAGTTCTAGTTCAGTTCTAGTTCAGTTCTAGTTCAGTTCTAGTTCAGTTCTAGTTCAGTTCTAGTTCAGTTCTAGTTCAGTTCTCGTTCACTTCTAGTTCAGTTCTAGTACAGTTCTAGTTCAGTTCTAGTTCAGTTCTAGTTCAGTTCTAGTTCAGTTCTAGTTCAGTTCTAGTTCAGTTCTAGTTCAGTTCTAGTTCAGTTCTAGTTCAGTTCTAGTTCAGTTCTAGTTCAGTTCTAGTTCAGTTCTAGTTCAGTTCTAGTTCAGTTCTAGTTCAGTTCTAGTTCAGTTCTAGTTCAGTTCTAGTTCAGTTCTAGTTCAGTTCTAGTTCAGTTCTAGTTCAGTTCTAGTTCAGTTCTAGTTCAGTTCTAGTTCAGTTCTAGTTCAGTTCTAGTTCAGTTCTAGTTCAGTTCTAGTTCAGTTCTAGTTCAGTTCTAGTTCAGTTCTAGTTCAGTTCTAGTTCAGTTCTAGTTCAGTTCTAGTTCAGTTCTAGTTCAGTTCTAGTTCAGTTTTAGTTCAGTTCTAGTTCAGTTCTAGTTCAGTTCTAGTTCAATTCTAGTTCAGTTCTAGTTCAGTTCTAGTTCAGTTCTAGTTCAGTTCTAGTTCAGTTCTAGTTCAGTTCTAGTTCAGTTCTAGTTCAGTTCTAGTTCAGTTCTAGTTCAGTTCTAGTTCAGTTCTAGTTCAGTTCTAGTTCAGTTCTAGTTCAGTTCTAGTTCAGTTCTAGTTCAGTTCTAGTTCAGTTCTAGTTCAGTTCTAGTTCAGTTCTAGTTCAGTTCTAGTTCAGTTCTAGTTCAGTTCTAGTTCAGTTCTAGTTCAGTTCTAGTTCAGTTCTAGTTCAGTTCTAGTTCAGTTCTAGTTCAGTTCTAGTTCAGTTCTAGTTCAGTTCTAGTTCAGTTCTAGTTCAGTTCTAGTTCAGTTCTAGTTCAGTTCTAGTTCAGTTCTAGTTCAGTTCTAGTTCAGTTCTAGTTCAGTTCTAGTTCAGTCTAGTTCAGTTCTAGTTCAGTCTGTTCAGTTTAGTTCAGTCTAGTCAGTTCTAGTTCAGTCTAGTTCAGTTCTAGTTCAGTTCTAGTTCAGTTCTAGTTCATTCTAGTTCAGTTTCTAGTTCAGTTCTAGTACAGTTCTAGTTCAGTTCTAGTTCAGTTCTAGTTCAGTTCTAGTTCAGTTTCTGTTCAGTTGTAGTTCATTTTAGTTCAGTTCTAGTTCAGTTTCTAGTTCAGTTCTAGTTCAGTTCTAGTTCAGTTCTAGTTCAGTTCTAGTTCAGTTCTAGTTCAGTTTCTAGTTCAGTTCTAGTTCAGTCTAGTTCAGTTCTAGTTCGTTCTAGTTCAGTTCTAGTTCGTAGTTCAGCCCTTCTAGTTCAGTTCTGTTCTAGTTCAGTTCTAGTTCAGTTCTAGTTCAGTTCTAGTAGTTCAGTTCTAGTTCAGTTCTAGTTCAGTTCTAGTTCAGTTCTAGTTCAGTTCTAGTTCAGTTCTAGTTCAGTTCTAGTTCCAGTTCTAGGTTCAGTTCTAGTTTCAGTTCTAGTTCAGTTCTAGTTCAGTTCTAGTTCAGTTCTAGTTCAGTTCTAGTTTCAGTTCTAGTTCATTCTTAGTTCAGTTCTAGTTCAGTTCTAGTTCAGTTCTAGTTCCTTTCTAGTTCAGTTCTAGTTCAGTTCTAGTTCAGTTCTAGTTCAGTTTCTAGTTCAGTTCTAGTTCAGTTCTAGTTCAGTTCTAGTTCAGTTCTAGTTCAGTTCTAGTTCAGTTCTAGTTCAGTTCTAGTTCAGTTCTAGTTCAGTTTCTAGTTCAGTTCTAGTTCAGTTCTAGTTCAGTTCTAGTTCAGTTCTAGTTCAGTTCTAGTTCAGTTCTAGTTCAGTTCTAGTTCAGTTCTAGTTCAGTTCTAGTTCAGTTCTAGTTTCCAGTTTCTAGTCTCAGTTCTAGTTCAGTTCTAGTTCAGTTCTAGTTCAGTTCTAGTTCAGTTCTAGTCAGTTCTAGTTCAGTTTCTAGTTTCGTTCTAGTTCAGTTCTAGTTCAGTTCTAGTTCAGTTCTAGTTCAGTTCTAGTTCAGTTCTAGTTCAGTTCTAGTTCAGTTCTAGTTCAGTTCTAGTTCAGTTTCTAGTTCAGTTCTAGTTCAGTTCTAGGTCTAGGTCAGTTCTAGTTCAGTTCTAGTTCAGTTCTAGTTCAGTTCTAGTTCAGTTCTAGTTCAGTTCTAGTTCAGTTCTAGTTCAGTTCTAGGTTTAGTTCTGTTAGTTCTAGTTCAGTTCAGTTCTAGTTCAGTTCTAGTTCAGTTCTAGTTCAGTTCTAGTTCAGTTCTAGTTCAGTCTAGTTCAGTTCTAGTTCAGTTCTAGTTCAGTTCTAGTTCAGTTCTAGTTCAGTTCTAGTAGGTTTCAGTTCGAGTTCAGTTCTAGTTCAGTTCTAGTTCAGTTCTAGTTCAGTTCTAGTTCAGTTCTAGTTCAGTTCTAGTTCAGTTCTAGTTCAGTTCTAGTTCAGTTCTAGTTCAGTTTCTAGTCAGTTCTAGTTCAGTTCTAGTTCAGTTCTAGTTCAGTTTAGTTCAGTTCTAGTTCAGTTCTAGTTCAGTTCTAGTCGTTCTAAGTCTAGTTCTAGTTAGTTCTAGTTCAGTTCTAGTTCAGTTCTAGTTCAGTTCTAGTTCAGTTCTAGTTCAGTTCTAGTTCAGTTCTAGTTCAGTTCTAGTTCAGTTCTAGTTCAGTTCTAGTTCAGTTCTAGTTCAGTTCTAGTTCAGTTCTAGTTCAGTTCTAGTTCAGTTCTAGTTCAGTTCTAGTTCAGTTCTAGTTCAGTTCTAGTTCAGTTCTAGTTCAGTTCTAGTTCAGTTCTAGTTCAGTTCTAGTTCAGTTCTAGTTCAGTTCTAGTTCAGTTCTAGTTCAGTTCTAGTTCAGTTCTAGTTCAGTTCTAGTTCAGTTCTAGTTCAGTTCTAGTTCAGTTCTAGTTCAGTTCTAGTTCAGTTCTAGTTCATTTCGAGTTCAGTTCTAGTTCAGTTCTAGTTCAGTTCTAGTTCAGTTCTAGTTCAGTTCTAGTTCAGTTCTAGTTCAGTTCTAGTTCAGTTCTAGTTCAGTTCTAGTTCAGTTCTAGTTCAGTTCTAGTTCAGTTCTAGTTCAGTTCTAGTTCAGTTCTAGTTTAGTTCTAGTTCAGTTCTTCAGTTCTAGTTCAGTTCTAGTTCAGTTCTAGTTCAGTTCTAGTTCAGTTCTAGTTCAGTTCTAGTTCAGTTCTAGTTCAGTTCTAGTTCAGTTCTAGTTCAGTTCTAGTTCAGTTCTAGTTCAGTTCTAGTTCAGTTCTAGTTCAGTTCTAGTTCAGTTCTAGTTCAGTTCTAGTTCAGTTCTAGTTCAGTTCTAGTTCAGTTCTAGTTCAGTTCTAGTTCAGTTCTAGTTCAGTTCTAGTTCAGTTCTAGTTCAGTTCTAGTTCAGTTCTAGTTCAATTCTACTTCAGTTCTAGTTCTGTTCTAGTTCAGTTCTAGTTCAGTTCTAGTTCTAGCTCAGTTTTAGTTTTGAGTTTTAATATTAATTTTCTCTAAATAGAATAATTTATCATTATCTTCTCCTACATGTTCTCTAATTATCGTAAAATTTCCTATAAATGGCTAATACATAACATAAACTCACAATTTTCTTAAAAACTATTTTAAGTTCAAAAAAAATCAATTCACCTTCAACGGGAAATCTAACTGTTTGTTATATAATAAACAAAAATATTTCTGTTAATTTAAGATTTCGTTATTTTTTTTTTTTTGCTACCAAAACATTATTTAAAAATATATAATTCCCAATGAATACCTACAAATTATGAACGCACGCAAAACTGTATTTAAGAAAATAAATAAATAAATATGAGGAAAAAAATACCAAAAATCATTGTTACAAAGCAAAAAAAAAATGTGGTAGCTGCAAATATTGAAACTACATTATTTTTTAAGAATTTGGCAGAAATACGAAAGAAGAAGAAAAAAACGGCAAACATAATAATCAAAATAACAGAAATTTTACTTAAGAAATCCCAAAAATGACGAATGAAACATTTTTAAGATTACACACAGAAAAAGGTTATTGCCTTGGTAATTACAATTACTATTTTTATACATTTTCTATTTGGCTGTGAGTTTGAGGCACTAATGAGGTTGCTACGCAAAAATCTTGAGAATGACGTTAAAGACGACAGCGTTGAAGATGATGATAATAGACATTTTACTATATAGACATTTCTTTCATTGTAATACTTATTTTGGGTGAACTTTTTTTAGCCAAAAATAAAGAAAGAAAAAAAAAACTTATTTAGGAAGATGTTCTTTTTTGGGATATTATGACAATACAAAAACTAAACTACAAATTGCAAAATCTTAATTGGCTTAGTGTGAAAACACAATCACAACGGGACGTTACATTTTTAAAATTTTTGAACTTTATTTTTGCAACAATTTCTAATTTACACCTTTTCTTTTATTTCTTTACAGGTAAGTCCCAATTCGAAACGATGTTTATCACTTATGGCCTTAACGGGTAAGAATTTCCAAATCTCTAAAGGTTCTGCTTTTAAAAGACGTAATTTTTCTGTTTCTATATCTTGTAGACGTTTTTGCTGCAATGCCAATTGCTGCTGATATTCCTTTTTATTTTGTGTTGCCTCAAATTCCAGTTCTAACTGTTTATTCTTAATTGTTTGCAACAGATCTTGACAATATTGCCGACTTTTTGATATATTCGAATTTCTTATGTCCAATTCTTTACTTTCCTGCTCCTGAAACATTTTTAGTTGTTCCTTTACCACTTTCATATCTTCTTGCTGACGGAATAGTTTTTCTTGTCGTCTTATCAAACGTGATCTTTCGAAATCCTCTTTTAAAGATTTGGCTGTTTGTATTTGTTTTTCCAGCTTCTGTTTATAGCGTTCATCATCTTTAGCCAAACGTTCTTCTATTAAAAGCTCGAGGAGAAAATCATTATGTTGTTGTTGTTTCATTTGTTGGGCATAAACTTGTTGTCCTATTCTCTCACTGAGAGCTTCACGTTTCATGGTGTTCTCTTTGCGTTTCTGTATACGCATTTTTTCGGTTTCATCTCTTTGTCTGATCATTTCCATGTATTTTCTATGATCCTCTTCAGCATCAACTTTTTGTTGTGTTTTATAAAGTTTAACTTGTTTGAGATACTCATCCCTATCTTGTTTTTCCAACTCTTTAAGCTCCAACATGTGCTGCCTTTCTCTTTCCTGGTCCTGCTCAAAGCTTTTTAAAAATCTTTGCATACTCGCACGTTCTTTTAATACAAACTCTCTTTCCAATTTACATTTTTCTTCCTTTTCTTCCATTTGCTTTAAAATATCTCTACGAAACTTGGCCTTTTTCTCTACATTTTTTCTTTCTTCCTCTAGGAAAATTTCCCTATTTCTTCGGCACTCTTCTTCAAAACGTTTGTTTTCCTCTAAACGTTCTTGCATTTCCTCTCTTTGTTTTTTCTCCCTCAAAACTTTCTGTTCGGCTAGTTCTCTTTGTATATGAGCTCTTTTAATTTGTACATTCAAAAGTCTTACTTCCTCCTCATTTTGATGCAGCCGATCTTTACGTTTCTCCTCTAGGAATTTCTCTTGCTCTAGCTGTTTTAATTCGCTACAAATTTGGCTTTTCAGTTTTTGCTCTTTTATCATGGGATTTTCAGCAGTCATTTGAATTTCTTGGGCTCGCACAACCTTTTCCAGTTGTTCTTCGTGCATAATATTTTTGAGAAATTGTGTATTGGTCCGACGATGTCTGACATTAACATTCTGTTTGATGGAGCAAATTTTATCACGAAACATTATTTCAAATAGTAAAAAAAAATCGTATAAAAAACAATATTTTAGCCGAAAATTTAACTAATCATCTAGATAATGGCGTTTTCAATCTTATTTCCGGGAGAATTGAAAATTATAAAGAAAAAATGTTTAGGAAAAATGTTTATAAAACTATTTTATAAACAAATATCAAAACAAACTGGGAAAATGTTTCATTCGAAAACTTTTAATGGTATAATCAAGAAGAGGTACAATTGTCAAGACCATAGGCTGATATATATACCGATCTGTAGTCATTTATATGGACTATTTTACAGTACAGAATAGCGACAGATCAACAAACTCTAGAATAATCTATAACGGATCGCATAGAATGTTTTATAGTCAAGACTACAAACCGATGTATAGTTAAGACTACAAACCGATCTATAGTTCACATTATAGACTGATCCATAGTCAAAATTATTTATTCAAGATTATGAACTGATCTAAAGTCAAGATTATTAACTAATTTATAGTCAAGACTATAGACTCACTCACAGTCAAGAATCTGTTGTCAAAACTGATCTACAGTCACATATCATGGTCAAGATCTGTAATCTTATCTCCAGTTTAGAACGTAGAGTTATTTATAGTCAGGAATATAGACTCAGCTGTAGTTATGACTATATACTGATCTATAGTCAGGACATAAGACTGATCAATAGTAAGTAATGCAGACTTTATGTAGTTATGACTTTACACTGATCTATAGTCAAGTCTTTAGACTGATCTATAATTAGGTTTATAGACTGATATATGTCAAGACTATAGATTAGATCTCTAGTCAGTATTGTAGTCTAATCTGCAGCAAAGCCTATATACTATATTGTTTTTAGAACTATATACTGATCTACAACCAGGAGTATAGACTGATATATAGTCAAGACTGACATACAGTAAAGTCTGAATGCTAATCTATAATCAGTATGTATAGTTTTTATTGATCTATAGTCAAACTATAGGATGATCCTTAATGAAGACTATATAGACTTTTTATAGTTTAGATTATAGGCCTAACTGATCTGTTGTCAAAATTATCGGTAGTTTCATAAACAGCCCTTATTGGTACCCCTTATTCAACAGTACCCTGTTTTATAACCGCTTCACATTTCCCAAAAATGTTTTTTTTTATTATATTTTTAACTTTAATTTTGTGTTATAATTTACTAAAATTATGTTTGCAATGTTTCACACCGACGTGACTAATTTTCATAAAACATAACACATAATAATTTAAACAACAAAGTAAAAAACTAAAAAAAATATATTTAATATATTTGAAAATTCTTAAGTCCACTTTATAACAAAACTGTTTACTATAGTAGACAAACGAAACCATCAAGTAAACAAACACACCGAACGACTATCATCAACTGCAGTAACAAAAACAACAACATTAAACAATCTGTTGTAATTGTGTCATTTTTGCAAAGATTTGTAATGAATTTCAATTAATTTTTGTTCATATAAAAATTTAAACATAAATATGGTGGAAATAAACAATATTTTCATTAGCCCATTATAAATTGACTGTAAAGAGAGTTGCGTTGTTAATAAAGTTAAAAAAATAATGATGACAGGTGTGAATTTAAAACACTAAATTTAATAGATTTATACGAAATTGTTGTAAAATTTATGGATTCAAAGTGTTTTGAGTTTTTTTAATAAGTTTTTGTGTTAATTAGGTGTTAAATATTTTAAAATTAAAAAAATATATATAAAGGAACCTGCCTCCACTAAGGAGTTTCTTTCTATAGAAAATGTGTCTCCACTAAAGAGAATCTTTCTATAGAAAAAGTGTCTCAATTAAAGAGACTCTTTCTGAAGAAAAAGTGTCCCATTAAAGAGCCGCTTTCTTCACGAAAAGTGTCTCCATTAAAGAGATTCTTCTATAGAAAAAGTGTCTCTATTAATGAGAATTTTTCTATAGAAAAAGTGTCTCTATTAAAGAAACTTTTTCTATAGAAAAAGTGTCTCTATAAAAGAGATTTTTTCTATAGAAAAAGTGTCTCTATTAAAGAGACTTTTTCTATAGAAAAAATGTCTCCATTAAAGAGACTTTTTCTATAGAAAAAGTGTCTCCATTAAAGAGACTTTTTCTATAGAAAAAGTGTCTCCATTAAGGAGACTTTTTCTATAGAAAAAGTGTCTCCATTAAGGAGACTTTTTCTATAGAAAAAGTGTCTCCAGTAAAGACACTTTTCTATAGAAAAAGTATCTCCAGTAAAGATACTTTTTCTATAGAAAAAGTGTCTCCAGTAAAGAGACATTTTCTATACAAAAAGTGTCTCCTGTAAAGAGACTTTTTCTATAGAAAAAGTGTCTCCAGTAAAGATCGGCTGCATCAAAATGAGGAGGAAGTAAGACTTTTGGATGTACAAATTAAAAGGCCTCATATACAAAGAGAACTAGCCGAACAGAAAGCTTTGAAGGAGAAAAAACAAAGAGAGGAAATGCAAGAACGTTTAGAGGAAAACAAACGTTTTGAAGAAGAGTGCCGAAGAAATAGAGAAATTTTCCTGGAGGAAGAAAGAGAAAATGTAGAGAAAAAGGCTAAGTTTCGTAGAGATATTTTAAAGCAAATGGAAGAAAAGGAAGAAAAATGTAAATTGGAAAGAGAGTTTGTATTAAAAGAACGTGCGAGTATGCAGAGATTTTTACAAAGCTTTGAGCCGGACAAGGAAAGAGAAAGGCAGCACATGTTAGAGCTTAAAGAGTTGGCAAAACAAGATCGGGATGAGTATCTCAAACAAGTTAAACTTTATAAAACACAACAAAAAGTAGATGCTGAAGAGGATCATAGAAAATACATGGAAATGGTCAGACAAAGAGATGAAACTGAAAGAATGCGTATACAGAAACGCAAAGAGAACACCATGAAACGTGAAGCTCTCAGTGAGAGAATAGGGCAACAAGTTTATGCCCAACAAATGAAGCAACAACGACATAATGATTTACTCCTTGAGCTTTTAATAGAAGAACGTTTGGCTAAAGATGATGAACGCTATTAACAGAAGCTGGAAAAACAAATACAAACAGCCAAATCCTTAAAAGAGGATTTCGAAAGATCACGTTTGATACGACGACAAGAAACACTATTCCGTCAGCAAGAAGATATGGACTTTTTCCTTAGAAAAAGTGTCTCCATTAAAGAATTTTTTTTTTCTGTAGGAAAAGTGTCTCCATTAAAGAGACTTTTTCTGTAGAAAAAGTATCTCCACTAAAATGACTTTTTCTATAGAAAATTTTTTTTCCAAGATTAAAAAAAGCCTCAAAATAAACTCTCATCAATCCAGCCAGATTGCATCAAATGTACATTACAGCGAAATAGTAGTTTGTTGATATTTTTCCGTTAAATTACATTTAAAACAAACACGCTCACGCAAACAGAAATATACAAGCAAAATAGCAGCAACAACGCCAATTTCCGCACATTTTGTTTATGTTTTTAAACGCAACAAAAAAACTCATTAAAATGTAACACGTATCGGGCAGAACTTGTACAATAACAATAGCAGCAACAAAAACAGCCAAGAAAAACAACAGCAACATGGCTCAATTCTTTAGCTCTTCATTTGGTTCTTTTTTAACTTTGTTCCGCCACCCTTCCTCGGAAAACCTCTTAATGTGGTTGTGATGAAGAAAACAACAATAAAAAAAGCTGCCAACATACAATACAGCTATAATAGTAACAACAACAAAAAACAACAACTACAGCAACAACAAAAGTTAAAATCTCAGTGTTATTGTAGTAAATTGTTCATAAATCACGTGAATCCAGACACTTTCATTTCATTCATTCACTCGTTGGTTGGTTCATTCTTTCATACATTAATTCATTCATGAAAAATCTGTTTGGGGTTTAAAGGAAAAAAAAACGAACAACAACAACAAATCTGGAGAAAGGACAACAGCAGCAGCAGGCATACTGCGTGCGGTTTCGCAGCAACAACTAAACCAACAGGAATATATTTTATATGAATCTGTTTGTTTGTATAGATGGATGTACATTTATGTACATGTGAATATTCCGTGTGGTTAACTCCATGTATGTGTTTTGCTGTATTCGTACATTCAGATAAAGTTTGTATTTGTCTGTAGGAATATTATTCTGAATTATATACTTTCACGTATATTCACTTATACACACAATCACATACATACATATACACTTTCACATATCCCTACTCGTATAAAATATATGATGAAAGGACATCACGAATATATGAATATAAAAGTCTTTTTTTTTTTGTTGGTTTTAATACGTTTATTTATGGAAATTATATGGGTACAGTGAGTGCGAAAATTGAATTGAAAATTTTTCCTCACGAGGATCTTTTCTACAGAGACCTTTCTATAGAAAAATAGTCTTCCATGCATAGAATTTTCTATAGAAAAAAGTTTCTCATACATGGACTTTTCTACAAAAAGACTTTTTCTTTTACAAAGACTTTTTCTGTAGAAAAAGATTTTTCTTTATAGAGACTTTCTCTATAGAAAAGGAGTATTCTTTACAGAGACTTTTTCTATAGAAAAGGGTCTTCTTTATAAATTTTCTATAGAAAAATAGACTTCTCTACAGAGACTTTTTCTATAAAAAAAGACACTACCTTACATAGGCTTTATCTATGGAAGAAGAGTATTCTTTACAGAGAATTTTTATATAGAAAAAGAGCCTTATTTAAAGAATTTTCTTAAAGAGACTTTTCTATGGAAAATTTGTATTAAGTAAAGAGACTTTTTCTAAAGGAATGGTGTCTTCATTAAGGAGACTTTTCTATAGAAAAAGTGTCATCTTTAAGGAGACTTATTCTGTAAAAAAAGTGTCTTCTTTAGAGAGACTTTTTCTATGGAAAAAGTGTCTTCTTTAGAGAGACTTTTTCTTTTAGAAAAAGTGTCTTCTTTGGAGAAATTTTTCTATAGAAAACGTGTCTTCTTAAAAGACATTTTTCTTTTGAGGGACTTTTCTATTGAAAAAGTGTCTTCATTAAAGAGATTTTTTCTATGGAAATATTGTCTTAAATAAAGAGGCTTTTTTAAAGGAATAGTGTCTTCATTAAGGAGACTTTTCTATAGAAAAACTGCCTTCTTTAAAGAGACTTTTCTATAGAAAAAGTGTCATCTTTAAGGAGACCTTTTCTATAGAAAAAGTGTCTTCTTTAGATTGACTTTTTTCTCTATAGAAAAGGAGTCTTCTTTACAGAGACTTTTTCTATAGAAAAGAGTCTTCTTAACAGATAATTTTTCTATAGAAAAGGAGTCTTCTCTACAGAAACTTTTTCTATAGAAAAAGTGTCTTTTTAAGGAGACTTATTCTATAGAAAAAGTGTCTTAGAGAGACTTTTTCTATGGAAAAAGTGTCTTCTTTACAGAGACTTTTTCTATAGAAAAAGTGTCTTCTTTAGAGAAATTTTCTATAGAAAACGTGTCTTCTTTAGAGAGACTTTTCTTTTGAAAAGTGTCTTCTTTAGAGGGACTTTTCTATTGAAAAAGTGTCTTCATTAAAGAGACTTTTTCTATGGAAATATTGTCTTGAGTAAAGAGACTTTTTTAAAGGAATAGTGTTTTCATTAAGGAGGCTTCTTTAAAGATACTTTTCTATAGAAAAAGTGTCATCTTTAAGGAGACTTTGTCTATAGAAAAAGTGTCATATTTAAGGAAACTTTTTCTATAGAAAAAGTGTCTTCTTTAGATTGACTTTTTTCTCTATAGAAAAGGAGCCTTCTTTACAGAGACTTTTTCTATAGACAAGAGTCTTCTTTACAGATAATTTTTCTATAAAAAAGGAGTCGTCTCTATAGAAACTTTTTCTATAGGGAAAAAGTGTCTTCTTTAGAGAGACTTTTTCTGTAGATGAAGTGTCTTCTTTAGAGAGACTTTTTCTATAGAAAAAGTGTCTTCTTTACAGAAACTTTTTCTATAGAAAAAGTGTCTTCTTTACAGAGACTTTTTCTATAGAAAAAGTGTCATCTTTAGAGAAACTTTTCTATAGAAAACGTGTCTTCTTTAGAGAGACTTTTCTTTTGAAAAGTGTCTTCTTTAGAGGGACTTTTCTACTGAAAAAGTGTCTTCATTAAAGAGATTTTTTCTATGGAAATATTGTCTTAAGTAAAGAGACTTTTTTAAAGGAATAGTGTCTTCATTAAGGAGACTTTTCTATAGAAAAACTGTCTTCTTTAAAGAGACTTTTCTATAGAAAAAGTGTCATCTTTAAGGAGACTTTTTCTATAGAAAAGTGTGTTCTTTAGATTGACTTTTTTTCTATAGAAAAGGAGCATTATTTACAGAGACTTTTTCTATAGAAAAGAGTCTTCTTTACAGATAATTTTTCTATAGAAAAGGAGTTATCTCTACAGCAACTTTTTCTATAGAAAAAGTGTCTTCTTTAGAGAGACTTTTTCTATGGAAAAAGTGTCTTCTTTAGAGAGACTTTTTCTATGGAAAAAGTGTCTTCTTTAGAGAGACTTTTTCTATGGAAAAAGTGTCTTCTTTAGAGAGACTTTTTCTATAGAAAAGTGTCATCTTTAAGGAGACTTTTTCTATAGAAAAAGTGTCTTCTTTAGATTGCCATTTTTCTCTATAGAAGCCTTCTTTACAGAGAGAAAGGAGTCTTCTTTACAGATAATTTTTCTATAGAAAAGGAGTCATCTCTACAGCAACTTTTTCTATGGAAAAAGTGTCTTTTTAAGAGAGACTTTTCTTTTAAAAAATAGTGCTCATTAAAGAGAACTTTTCTATTTAATTAGAGAGAGACATTTCATCATTTGAGAGAAAAAGTACTATTTCCAAAGAAAAACTTTCTACTTTTGTCACTCACTTTACAGACAATAACATCCATCTGTGCTTGTACGTATTGAAAGTTGTTGTTCTTTTTGTTTTTAAATTACTGAAGTATATTTAAACATAATACGTAATTGTTTATCAATTATGTAATTTAATTAAATTTAAAGCCTACATGATTTAACCAACACTAAAGGACTAACTCTCTGACTGACTGGCTGACTGACAGACATGTTGTACAATTTATTGTTATGCTACAGATTTTTGGTTACTGAAGTATGTATGTGTGCATATGTCTGCTTGTGGGTGAAAAATATGTGATATGTTTGTTGGGCTTTAATCAACGTTTCTTCATCAGGTATAATACATAGTAAAGCAGTCTGCCTGCAGTGATAACTGACAACTTAATATAATTTAAAATACTTTAGTTAGTTAAAAGTTTGTTTTGGTAATAAGCGTTTTAAAGTTTAAGATACTTTGAGAAATTATTATAATTATTTAATGAAGAAATGATTAAAATAGATTAAAGTAGAAAGTTTGGAATTAGTTTATATATAAGTCGAAATTTGTTTAAAATGAGTAATTGTTAGATATAGATTTTTGTACTGAAAACTCATGTTAGCATGACAGCCCTTTCCAATTCTTAAGAACAAAGACTTACAATTGACCATTGTGCAAAAAATATATGTAATTTATGTATTTCTTTACCATGGCTATGAAAAGCGTAGACAAATCAAATGACAATTGAATAAAAAAAAATTGACAGCTGTCATTCAAATGAATGACTGGAACGGTGACATTTATGACAAATTTCAATTTCAGTTAAAATAAAATTAAATATTAAACAAGCCAGTTATTCCTATTAACAAATAAAACTCAAATTAAAATATGTACTTGATTTTTTATTCATAAACATGATACTTTCCTTTTAATACAGAAACTTAAAATGACATTTGTTAATTTAACTTTTTAAAACATCAACTAATAATAAATATTTAATAAGAAAAAATAATTTCTAAAATTATTTAGAAAAACAAGAAGATGGTATCTTAATATTTGAAACAAAAACACACAAAACAGCTATAGTCTAGTCTATAGTCTAGTCTATAGTCTAGTCTATAGTCTAGTCTATAGTCTAGTCTATAGTCTAGTCTATAGTCTAGTCTATAGTCTAGTCTATAGTCTAGTCTATAGTCTAGTCTATAGTCTAGTCTATAGTCTAGTCTTAGTCTAGTCTATAGTCTAGTCTATAGTCTAGTCTATAGTCTAGTCTATAGTCTAGTCTATAGTCTAGTCTATAGTCTAGTCTATAGTCTAGTCTATAGTCTAGTCTATAGTCTAGTCTATAGTCTAGTCTATAGTCTAGTCTATAGTCTAGTCTATAGTCTAGTCTATAGTCTAGTCTATAGTCTAGTCTATAGTCTAG